GAGAGAGAGAGTTGTGACTTGAGACTTGACGACATTGGATCCAGACTCGACATTGGGATTCAGACATTTTGACAAGGGACTATTTGGGCCTGTGCAAATCCACCTCTCACTCCGCCAGATTCGGCCGCCTTGCTAGCGGCCTCCTACACATCTGGGGAGGATGCGAATGTCGCAAGTTCTCGGTATACTTACGAGGACTATGTTGTCCACTTGGTCCCACCGTTGGACCAACCACTCCACGTGCAACAATCCACTTCATGTCCGGTTTCACTACCATCGGCAACCGAGTCGGCAGCTTCGCCGCCATCTATAGCCGGGGATTCGACGACATGGTCAAGACTTGAAGAGCTCGACCCGTTGACGTTTGCGGACTTCCAATGGATGCCCCTTCCCCGGWCCGGTCGATTGCYGAAACCKCATTGYAACGTGCTCATGGCACAATTGCGGGATTACTTGCACACTGCAGTACCAACTCCGTTGATGGACGCCGATGTAGAGGTTGTCGACCTTCACGACTACATTGAGAAGATCGACCGCGAGTTCAAGAYACAACGGTACGACGACATCGACGCACCATTGTTATATGTACGCATTCAGATCGGAGAGGYGACCTGCAGCACTTTGATCGATTGCGGAGCATCTCGCAACTACATGAGCCARGACTTTATGGTACGCRCCGGCCTTGGCCCACSCGTCCGGAGGAAGYCYCAGCCTACGCAAGTCACGTTGGCAGAYGGTCACAYGCACAAGTCAATCGACCGGTGCATAGATGACGTCCCCGTGTACTTTGCCCCGCATGCAAGCGAGGCGGTGTCSTTCGATATTTTGGACACYAAATTYGACATGATCTTGGGCATGTCATGGCTGCGAAGCGAGGATCACCCGGTGAACTTCCACYGCCGCACCGTTCACGTTCGTGATCTGAACGGAGTACTAGTCCCATGCACGGTGCCTCCTCCTCACCCTTCGATCAGCTGCCACGTGGTGTCCGCCASAAGCATGCGAGCTTCYATSATCAGAGACGACATCGAGGAGATSGGGGTGTGTTTTCTCCACGCCCTCCCGYCCCATGACGCTTCATCGACGGACTCATCTTCGGACCCACGCATCAYCGAGKTTCTCGACGCCTACGGCGAYRTGTTCGAAGGCCCACACGGAGTAGTACCGRATCGGCCCATCCACCACRAGATCATCCTCGAGGACGGGGTTGTRCCTCCKCGTGGTTGCATCTACCGAATGAGCGAGGAAGAGTTAAGTGTGCTACGGGCACAACTCGACGACCTTCTGGAGAAAGGCTGGATTCGGGCTAGCTCATCGCCATACGGTGCTCCTGTTCTCTTCGTCCGGARGAAGAACAAGGATTTGCGGTTGTGCATCGATTATCGCAAGCTCAACGCGCAAACGGTCAAGAACGTCGGCCCTCTTCCACGCATCGACGACCTCCTCGAACGGCTGGGCGGCGCCAAGTTCTTCTCCAAGCTAGACCTCAAATCGGGATATCACCAACTCGAGATCCGGCAGGAGGACCGCTACAAGACCGCGTTTAAGACGCGATATGGGCATTTCGAATGGTTGGTTATGCCGTTTGGCCTTACGAATGCCCCAACAACTTTCCAAGCGGCTATGACAACGGAGTTCCGACACATGCTGGATCGATTCATACTTATCTACCTCGACGACGTTTTGGTGTACAGTCGGAGTTTGGACGAGCATGTGGAGCACATGCGCACCGTTTTGGAGCGGCTACGACAAGCCAAGTACAAAGCCAACCTCAATAAATGCGAATTCGCGCTGCAGGAGCTGGAGTACTTGGGACACTATGTGACGCCGCAAGGCATCCGTCCGCTTGCAGACAAGATCGAGGCCATCCACGTATGGCCCGAGCCCACCAACACCACGGACCTTCGTTCATTCATGGGGTTGGCGGGCTACTATCAGCGATTCATCACCGGATACTCAAGGATTGCTGCACGTGTGACGAGATTACAATCTCCAAAGGTGCCATTCGGATTCAATGACAACGCACGCCGGCCATTCCAAGCACTTAAGACGGCCACGCTCATGGCACCCGTCCTTAGCATCTATGACCCCACCCTGCCTACGAGAGTGACAACTGACGCTTCCGTCTATAGCATTGGGGCAGTCTTGGAACAACACGACGGCGACGACTGACACCCTGTGGAGTATTTCAGCCACAAAGTGCCTCCCATCAATTCGCTTGATGATGCAAGGAAGAAGGAGCTGCTCGCGTTCGTGATGGTTCTCAAGCGATGGCGGCACTTCCTCCTTGGGCGTCGTAGGTTCACATGGGTCACGGACAACAACCCATTGACGTACTACAAAACGTGCGATACGGTGAGCAGCACGATCGGACGATGGATGTACTTCATCGACCAATTTGACTTCACACCGAAACATCTTCCCGGCCTCTCCAATTGCGCAGAAGATGCACTCTCGCGAAGACCCGATCTTTGCGCTATGCACATCATGCCTTCGCATTCGACGAGGAACTCCAGCGACACTTCATCCGGGGATATGAGTCTGATCCGGACTTTGCCACGTTGTATGCGCAGCTATCTTCGGATCACCCGCCGGCCAGCCACTATCGCATTGCCAACGGGTACTTGCTCCTCCACTCGAGAGGCAAGGACTTATTGTGTGTCCGACGAGACCGTCGTCTTCGGACTCGCCTTCTCGGGGAGTACCATGACTCGCGACTCGCCGGCCATTTAGGAGTCCATCGCACTATTGCACGGCTTCGACAACGATTTCGATGGCCCGACCTTATTACCGATGTCACTCGGTATTGCGACTCTTGCGAAGTTTGCCGACGAAGCAAGCCCCGCAATTGCAACCCCTACGGCGAGTTGCGCCCGATGCCTATCCCACGGGAACCTGGCCTCTCCATTGCCATGGATGTCACCGGACCATTTCCCCGCGATCGCCTCGGGCACGACGGCATCCTCACGGTAGTGGACCGTTTGAGTAAGTACGCGCGTTTTCTCCCTTGCAAGTACTGCTCCACGGCTCCTGAGCTGGCACGCCTCTTGCACACCGGCTGGATTTGCGGCCACGACCGCGACACTCGCTTCATGTCGGCATTTTGGACTGCTCTCATGCAGGAGTCCGGCACGAAGATGAAACCAAGTTCGGCTCGACATCCACAAACGAACGGGCAAACGGAGTGGGCACATCAAACCGCTCAAATGATGCTTCGTACGCTTATCCGTCCGGACCAGAAAGATTGGGTTGACCGCCTCTTCGACATCGAGTTCGCCTACAACACTTCGGTGCACCCGGCGATCGGCGTGACTCCATTCGAGTTGCACCACGGTGGACGGAAAAGCCGTATCTTCGTCGAACTTCTCCTCCCACGACCAGCCGACATCGACGCTGCTTGCTCTCCCACTTCCGTCCGGAAGTACAGGGAATTGTTGGCTCAAGCCCGCGCGAACATGCAAAAGGCTCAAGTCCGCATGCAGCAGCAAGCCAACAGGCGTCGCGTGCCATGTCCCATCCGCGCCGGTGATCTGGTTTGGGTCTCCACGGAAGAGTTTGCATTAGAACAGGATGTTTCACGCAAACTGCTTCCCAAGTGGTTTGGACCATGGCCCGTAACATCAGCCGCGGGCGATGAGCCCGATGGCCCTTCATTTGTGATCAACATCCCCGCGCATCTGACGGTCCATCCAGTCTTTCACGCCTCGAAGCTGGCAACATATACACCAGCTAAGAGCGACGACTTCTTGGGCCGACGATCGCAGGATCCTCCATCTATGGATGATCATCAGGAAGTTGAGCGCGTCATCACGGATCGCAAATACGGTAGCAAGCCTCGATAGTACAAAGTAACATTCAGAGCATGCGATCCCGACGACACTCGGTGGATTTCAGGAACAGATTTGAAAGCATCCGCACCGCTGATCTACGCTCACTACGAGCGACAAAGGTTAGCTCAGGGAACTTCACGACCTTCCCCTCCCACCCGGACTGTGGTCCCTCCCTCAGACAGACAGCTTCGCCCTCGCAGGTAAGCTCGGTCTTTCAAGGAGGGGAGGGTGTGGCATACTGTGTAGCCACACGGGCCTGCAGGGCCCGTCCCACATTCTCAACCTAAAAGCCTAGAAATAAGGGCTTATAGGCCCCATGTCGTTTCAGCCTGAAAGACTGTAAACGAGGGCCTGCAGGCCCTATGTCGTTTCAGCCTAAAACATGGCTTTTCAGCCCTGAGTCTTTTCAGCCTGAAACGGAGGGCCACTTTTGGGCCCTCATAAGATCGACCTGCCCTAACACTCAGGCACAAAACCAG